GAAGCCCGTTACCTGTGGGGACATCCACGTGGCAATTAACTGAGTCCATCTGCCAATAACTAGCACTACTTGCTTGGTGTGTGGGTCAGTCATCTTGGAAGCAGACTCTCCAGCCCCAGTCAAGCCTTCAGATGAGTAGCACCAGGTGACATCTTGACTGCAATCTTATGAGAGACACTGAGTGATAAGCATCCAGCCAAACTGCTCCTGGATTCCTGACCCACACAGGCTGCTTGAGATAGTTAGTGCTTATTGGTTTTAGCTGCTAAGTTTTGGGTTAATTTGTTACCTAGCAATAGATAACTAATAGTGGCATCAGAAACAAGGGAAAGAACATGGGTCGAGAGGTTATCACATCTAAAATGTCTTGATGGTCATGCAAAGGTGAATGCTCTTCAGGTTAAGTCTCTTGTGCCTCAGTTTTTTCAACAGTAAATTGATGACAGTAAATCTTACCTCACAGAGGTCTGAACAATAAATGAGATAAAAGAATTCAAAGAAACTGGAAAGTGTTTTTTTCCCTCAGTAACTATATATTTCTTTCTTTTCTTTAAATTGTGCTTAATTTTACAGTCTTTCTTTTAAGGGGTTTTAAGCTGATTGTTGTTAGCACACAGAAATGGACTTTACAGGATGTTGAAGAACTGCAGGCACAGATAGGGCTATGGATGTTCAGGCACTGCCTCTGTTTTTCATTTGTGTTTATTTGTTTATGTTTATCTGGATGAAGAGCTGGTTTTGAAGATCTTGATTTAAGATAAATGAATATTTATAAACATTCTCTCACATAGAAGTAAAGTGATCATATAAGTTATTTCTGAGTATTTATGTAAGCCTGAAATAAAAAAAAACAGTCTCTAGGAAACAAAACTCTAGATCATGCAGAGATAAACTCTGTTCCTCTCTGACATGGGTCTCTGACAGCTTCATGTTCCCAGTTAAAGACCTCAGAGGTCAAGAAATCAACTCTGAAACATGCTGTATCTGTTTCTGCTGTGTTCATCTTGACTCAATTTTTCTGTGTCCTTGACTAAATAAACTGGGAAATTATAAGTGAGTGAGTGTACGTGCAGTTTCTTATTTTGCAAATCCATAAACAACTTGGAATGCTTTTACTCTTGGTATTTCACATTGACATTTCAAATAAGTTTTGATAGACTCTTAAGGGCCTTGACCTACACTGGGTGCCATAGTATAGGGGTTAAACCCATGGACTCTGCATGAAGATTTATAAGACTTCCTGGGTTTAAATCCCAGTTCTGCCACTAACTGCATGAACTTGTGCAAATTACTTAAAAGCATTCTATGCTTTGGTTTCCTCAGGGAAAAGTTAAGAATCATATTTACCTTACAGGTTTGTTTTAAGAGTAAAATGGGTAGCCGGGCACGGTGGCTCACGCCTGTAATCCCTGCACTTTGGGAGGCCGAGGCGGGCTGATCATGAGGCCAGGAGATCGAGACCATCCTGGCTAACACGGTGAAACCCCGTCTCTACTAAAAATACAAAAAATTAGCCAGGCGTGTGGTGGGCGCCTGTAATCCCAGCTGCTCGGGACGCTAAGGCAGGAGAATGGCGTGAACCCAGGAGGCGGATCTTGCAGTGAGCTGAGATAGCTCTATTGCACTCCAGGCTGGGCGACAGAGCGAGACTCCGTCTCAAAAAAAAGATAATGGCACATCTAAATGACTGGAGATAATAAATGTTATACTATAAAAAAAGAAAAAAAAAGAAAAAAGAGTAAAATGGGTAAATATTAGTAACTTAGAACACTACCTGTGCAACAGCAGGTGCTTGCTAAATAGATAGGTTTTTATTTATTTTTATTTTTTCATTTTTTATTTTTTTGAGACAGAGTCTTGCTCTGTCTCCAGGCTGGAGTGTAGTGGCATGATCTCGGCTCACTGCAGTTTCCGCCTCCCGGGTTCAAGCGATTCTCCTGCCTCAGCCTCCTGAGTAGCTGGGACTACAGGTGCCTGTCATCATGCCCAGCTAATTTGTTTTATTTTTAGTAGAGATGGGGTTTCACCATGTTGACCAGGGTGGTCTGAATCTCATGACCTCGTGATCCACCCGTCTTTGCCTCCCAAAGTGCTGGGATTACAGGCGTAAGGCACCGTCCCTGAATAGCTTTTGATTTTGATGAAGTAAATAATTGAATGGCCTGGGCGTTTATGGTGAATCTACATAGTGAGTGCAATCATTCAGCAACCGGAATCCTTCTCTTTCCTACTCCCTGCGTATGCTCAACTTGGCTTTACTTTAGTTTTGAAAGGAAATTAATCATTACCATGATATTTGAGAATTTGAATATTGCCTCAAATATATCCCTAAAGATGATAAATGTATGCTTCACTCTGAACTGAAAATATGCTTGCCTTTCACAAGTGCATTTGATTTTCACAGCTGCATTTTTCTAGGTGTGTGAGTGTGTTGAGGAGGACATTGATTGGGGAAAATCAATCTACTTTTTCCTTTTTAGCAAATGGTTCTGAACTCCTTTGAAAATCTAATAAAAGCTGTAGTCCATCTCCACAGCACAAAAAAAAAAAATCACTGAAGCTATGATTGTGGGCACCAATTGGCCCTTTTCTATATTTACTATAGGCCAAGAAAGTGGACTGAGGATTATTGTAGCTTTTTTTTTTTTTTTTGACAATGGTTGCTGAATTTAGAAAAGAGAAAAAGGGAGAGCAGAAAAAAAAATCCAGGACATTGCTTCAGAAAGTATTGGAAACAAAATGGCCTTTAACAAAGAAGCTCTGATTGTTAGCTTTTAAGAAATTAATGACACAAATTAAAAAGTGACTTTGAAAGGTATGTAAAATAGTCTGTCAGTGTTATTTATACAGTGTTTTGTAGAGAACCAGGGATTTGGGGGACTCCTGCAATGATGTCCTAATTTATAGGAGGGTTGTGAACAGGTAGAATTGAGACTCCATTTACCCAGCATCTACTAGAGAAGTGCTGTGTTCATAAATATTACTTCTTGGGCTTCCAAATAAGATTGTACATGAACAAAGAGTTCCATAACTTACAAAGGATTGAGAACCACTTTTCTGGATATTTGTCCATATAGATAATTACAAACTGAAACTTCTCAACCTGGGTTATCAAAATCTGAGAAAGGCTATATTGGCAGATGTACAATATTGTAGGGTGAAATGAGAGTGACCACAGTCCAGTTTACCTAATTCTCAGTATATAAAAATATGGAGTCTTCTACTAAGCTACAAAAAGGCAAATTTAGAATTGGTAAAAGCATATAAATTAGTAGAAAGAATTTAAAAATTGAACAACCCAAATTATAGAATAAGTTGCATATAAAATAGCTAAAAAATTTTTTAGGCAAAACCAGTCAGAAGAAATGAGACAGTTCTGGGGATATCCTCCCTTATTATTCAGATTGATTGTAAAAAGGGATATTGTCTTCCACAAATCTTTTGATTCCAGTTCCAGAAAAAAAATACCTGCTGGTATCACATACATTCTTATCCTTTGTGGTAATATCTAAGTCCTTATATAATTTCACCAGTTTTCTGTTCAGATATTTAGCTGAAATTTATTATGAGCCATGACATAAGTAAATGATATCATTTGGAGGTGTCTCACCCAAAGTCTCATCCTGGATTTAATCTGAATTGCAATCCCCATGTGTTGGGGGAGAGAGCCATGGGCTGTGATTAGATCATGCGGGCAGTTCCCCCATCCTGTTCTTATGATAGTGAGTGAGTTCGCACAAGATCTGAAGGTTTTATAAGGGAGTTTTCCCCCTTTTGTTCGGCAATTCTCTCTCCTGCCGCCTAGTGAAGAAGGATGTGTTTGCTTCCCCTTCCACTGTGACTGTAAGTTTCCCGTGGCCTCCCCAGTCATGTGGAACTGTGAGTCAATTAAACCTCTCTCCTTCATAAGTTACCCAGTCTTGGGCAGTTCTTTATAGCAGCATGAGAATGGACTAATACAGTATGTAAACTCTCTCTCTCTCTGTGTGTGTGTGTGTGTGTGTGTAAACCATATATATGGTATATATACACACACACATATATATGTGTGTATATATATAGGATATATATGGTATATATGCCATATATATATACACACACACGTTGTACAGTATGGAATTGCCAACACTTGGCTTTTTTGACTTTGAAAGTGGGAATTCCATATGGTTTAACCTAGCATTTGCTTGAATATATTCCTCCCTAGTTTTGATGCAGAATCTATACAGTATAGATAATTCCCTCTTCTCTGCATTACAGATTCCAGTTTACCCACAGGGGTCCTGTGACTTTTTTGCTGGCTTGATAACAGCATTTGAAGAGGTCTGAATGAGCCTACTGGCTGAAAGTAAAGAGAAAGTTGTCAAGTCCTGTCTTATCTTATTCAGTAGCTCTTGCCAAGATTTTTGGGTCTTCTCAAGGGAGTAATCACACAGAGTTGAAATTAGAGCAACCCTAAAATTCCATTGGTTAGTCCTCTAGGCATGCATTTTATCTCCTCTACAGTCTCTTTAGTGACAGAATCTCTAAAACACAGTGTCCTATACAACAAAATGTTAAACTATCTTGTGGGAGAATAAGGCAGGTGAAAGGATTGAGGCTTATCAAGGAAGCCAGGCAAAGACAGCAATTCCTATTGCTTTTGAAGTGCTCTTGTGGAAGCTGTACTCAAGTCCTTTAAGAGCTGGTTTACTTCCCAAATAAACTGAGTTGCCAGCAAGAGCAATGGTGTGGTGTTTCAGGAGGGAGGGGAAGAAATGAAATGCATCAGTGATGGGGGATTTGCAGGCATTTCTGAGATCACACAAACCAAAGTGGACATTTCTTCTGGATGCTATTAGCTACTCATCCCTCCCACATGGGCCCCTTCAGTTTGCTTGCTGGAGAGGAGGCTGCTGAGAATCATTCAAGTCAGTTAAAGAAATTGCCTAAAGTAAGTATCTGAAACACAAACACATTATCTCAAAGTGCTTAGAACACAGTAATAATCACAAAGTCCTTACTTCTTCTCTCCTTTGTACCATTCAAAGGCTGGAGGTGGCACACCTGCACCTTCGCATCTTATCAGGCCACTGCGTCCTGGGGTCACGGTGCCAGATTTAATTTCCTGAATAGTAGGAGCAACTGCAAAAGAAACAAACAAACAAATACTAGTGGATAAGTACAAATAATCCTCAACAGAAATATGACACGCATATATTTTTATTCCTTCTATATTCAAAGCAAACTTATGCCTGATAGACCAATGCATCATATTTTCAGTGTTTTATGCTTCAAATACAAGACTAGTCATTTTCAGCTTCATTTTTCAAGTTGAGCAACAGATGAATGTTTTCAGGGAGTGCAGAGTAAATGCAATACATTTTGGCCTTCCTTCCTATTGGAAAAATGGCATTGGTGAGGGTAACACTTCATCTGTACTCCAGTCCAACTCTACTGCAATAATAGTTCTCATCTATTGAGTGATCAGAGGGAGCCAGTCACTGGGCTAGGTGCTTTACATTCTCCATTTTCTCACAAAAATACCCTAAGCTTGATGGTATTATCTCAGTTTTACAAATGTGAAAACTAAAGTTCAGAGATGTTAAACGAATTGTCAAGGTCACACAGCTACTTAGTTGCAGAAGTTGGCTTTGAAGTCAGGTGTGTTAACTCAAAGCCTGGGCTCTTGACATATTCTGTGTTTTTTCCTGCCTCCTCCCTATGCTTTAGTAATTTAGTGATTTTTTTCTTTAATGTAGTTTCTTCTGTCTGAATGCTGTTTTTCCCATTTCCACAGATTCAAGATCCATTTTAGGCATCAGTGTCTCCATGCTCTTCCCTATTGCTCTAGCAAGAAAAAGTTTCCCCTCCTCTGCGTATCTGGATCTCTCATACCATGAACGTTCTATCATATATTGATAGAAATGTATTGCATTGCATCATGTACAGTATTTATGGGTATGCCAGATTTCCTTTTCAGTTCTTTGGAGGCAGAGATGAATATCTGATTCATCTTTGTATATTCCAAGATTATTGCACAGTGCCTAGCACAGTGTGATACTTAAAAACCTTTTTCTTGCAGCATAACTTTTTTTTTTTTTATCCTTCACATAGTTATTCAGCTGTCAACATGTGCCAGGCATTTCTCAAGGAACAAAGCAGTTAATTGCCCTGAGGTGATGAAGCTTATATTCTAGATGGGATAACAAATGGGGAGACAGACTATAAGCAGCAGATGTCGCAAATTAGTAGTTTAAATAAAATGTTAGAAGGTGATAAACAATACAGTAAAATAAAAACAAAACCCTTATAGTTGCAAGGTAAGAGGAATCAGAGAAAGGAATGGATTGAAGTTTTCGATAGGGTAATCTGAGTAGGCCTCATTGAGATGCTAAGATTTGCACAAAAACTAGATGTGAATGAGTGAGTTAGCTATGTGGATATTTAGAGACAGAGCCTTGTAGGAAGAGGGAAGAGCTTGCAGTAAGACACTGAGGCTGAAGCTAGCCTAGTTTGTTTAAGAAATAGCAAGATTGGTGTGGCCGATACAAGAGAAAGGAGAGCAGGAGCAGATAGGAACAATTTTCAGTGGATTCCAAGTTTATACCAAAGAGAAACAAAGGATGGAAGATTGGGTAGGATCTCTTGGGTCATTTCAAGGAATTGGCTTTTATTCTAGGACAAATGGTGAATCCCTGCAGAGTAGAGATAAAATCTGATCGGTTTTTTGAAAAGATGACTCTGGCTGCTGTGTTGTAAAAAGACCATCGTGAGGCCAGGATAAAAGTCTAGGGATAAAGTAGGGAATGCAGTAAGCAAGGCAAATGAAGGTGGGTGGCTCACGTCAGGGTGGTAGCAGTGGAAGTGGTGGAAAGTTATTGGGCTTGTGGTCTACTGTGAAGGTGGAGCTGATAAGATTTCTAGAAAGACTGAAGTGACATAGAGAAAAAAAAGAGGAGTCAAGGGTGATGTAATTTGGCTTGAGTAGCTGAAAGGTTATTGACTCAGATGAAAAGGACTGTAAATAGAAGAATTTTGGAGGGGGTTGGGCACAGTAGATCATACCTGTAATCCTAGCAGTATGACAGGCTGAGACGGGTGGATCACCTGAGGTCAGGAGTTCGAGACCCGCCTGGCCAACATGGTGAAACCCTGTCTCTACTAAAATTACAAAAATTACTCAGGCATAGTGGTGGGCCCCTGTAATCCCAGCTACTTGGGAGGCTGAAGCGGGAGAATTGCTTTAACCCGGCAGGCAGAAGTTGCAGTGAGTTAAGACTGCCACTGCACTTCCGCCTGGGCAACAAAAGCAAAACTCCATCTCAAAAAAAAAAAAAAAAAAAAAAAAAAAAGAATTTTGGAGAGAAACACTAGGAGTTGTATGTAGGCATCTTTTCATAAACATTTCCTTTTCTACCAAGTTTTTAACATACTATAATTCATATTTCAAATAACACTATAGCAAATTATTCAACAACTAGAATCTTGAAGATACAAAAACGAGTTCATTCAGAAATATGGCCTAAGTGTGCACTGTGGATATATTTTGATTTATTTGGAAAGCAATGAAAAAGTACAGTGTTTAATGTTTTATCAATATTCAGTGAACACTGAATATATAATTTTCAACATATGAAAAATTATTGCACTTCTATTTTTCTGTGGTGTTTTTATTCTTATTATTTATAGTTCTAGAAAACATTGCAAGGAAAATATTTTTGTTAAAGTACTTGCTAATAAATTGGTGAAAATTAATGAAATATTTCCAAAAAATGTTTGCATAAGAACTGTTACAAGATAATATAGATACATATATATACACCAACACACACCTGGTTTTATATATATAATATCATATATGCATAACATTTATAATGTACATATATATACACCCTTATATATACATATTTATGTATATATGGGTGTATACATATATGTATATTCACAAACACAATACAAGAAATCATTTCATAATTTTAAAATTATTTTGTTAAGCAAAGTTTCATGTCACCTACAAAAGTCAATGAAATATATTAAAAAACTATAAATAAAACTCCATGTACTTGTCAATTATTAAGACACTGCTCATAACAGGTACAGGTAAGCTTGTATTTTCACTATTGTTCTCATCTGCTTTAATCTCTCTTTCCTGTCACACAAACAGGCTGTAATCTTTTATGATATCTAATTATTATTGAAGATGAAATAACCATATGCAACAGGAGATCCATCACAAGCTTCTATTGATAACCTGGTTAGTTTAATTACTCTCTTGTTTGTCAAGGGGGCCATGACTCATTATAAACAAAAGCATGAAATCTGGAACATTGTGTGAAAACCCAGGCGTAACGAACCGAAATCAAAATCTAATTCATCATTAAAAGGCTTTTGTGCAGTACAGTATACATACGGCTCAGCACTGGGTGCTTTACCACACAAGTTAAAGGGACATGATCCTGTTATCTAGGGCTTCGTGGGCTGCTATGATGGACACCGAAAATGGAAAGATAACTAAAATGTCTTATGAAAAATATGGATAAAGAATGAATAAAAAATTAATAGCATTAATAATATGCACAAGAAAAAGTCCTAAGAGCATTTTGCAAGGTACAGAGTTAAACGTCCAAGTGTTGTGGAGTAATCAATGTGGGGAGAAGATTCTCATGCAGATATCCCTTTGTGGTTAAAATTATAAGCTTGAACCAAAAGTCTCTATTGATTTTACTTGGAGACATAAAAATTCTTATTACATATTCATATTACTGTGCATCTTTTGGAAATAACTTGTTCAAAAAGAAAAGGATTCATCCATTTATTTATTCTTTATTCCTTTGTTGATTCAACAAATATTTGTATCAGGGATCACATTAATGAAAAAAATAATAATATTCCTGGCCTCACAGAGCTGATACGAAGTGATACAAACTAAGATGAAAACAGAGCAGGGTGAAACAAAAAGGAAGAGCAAGATATGTTATTTACTATGTTGCATTTCTAAGAGATCCTTGATGATAAGGTAATATTTGAACAAAGAAGTGATGTGAGAAAAGGAATCATTTAGCGATTTGTAGAAAATTATTATAATAAGAAACAGGAAAGGCAAAGGTCCCGAGTGGAGAGCATGCTTGAGGTGGAAACAGGTTTAACAGGATTAAGTTTAACACACTGTTTTAGAAATAGCAAAATGGTAATCATTGCTTGAGTAGAATAGGTGAGAATAATCTAGAAGAGGAGGTGGGGCAGGGGCCTGGAGCCCAGATTCTATAGGGTCTAGTAGCCCATGATAAAAGCTTTGAATTTTATTCTAAGCTACTAAGATTTTGCAGATTTTGAGCAGAGTGACATGATTTAGTTAAAATCTTATAAAGATTATTTGTCTGTTGTGTGGAACATGGTCTGCAAAGAGGCAGGAGAGGAAATGGGCAGAATAGCTACGGGGTTGTAGTAATCCTTAGGATAATGAGAAAGTCATTGGCCAATGCATAGAAAAGGCAGAAACTGAGGAGAGAATGCAATTAAATAGATCATTGCTCACATTGGACCTGAATCAACTCATTTTAGTTAACTGGCATTGACTGAGCATTTTCAGTGGATTCCAAGTTTAGAAGATTCTGAACCTTATTACTCTGTATAAATAAAAGGATTCTATGTGTACAGACATGTCTGATAATGCCCAGAGAATTCCTTTCCACAGTACTTCTTAGAAATTGTGATGTACACGTAAGTCTTATGAATCTTTTATTTCAGGGGTCCCCAGTCCCTGGCCCTGTTAGGAACTGGGCTACACAGCTGGAGGTGAGTGGCAGGTGAACAAATGGAGCTTCATCTGTGTTTACAAATGCTCCCCATAACTCACATTACTGCCTAAGCTCCACCTCCTGTCAGATCAATGGCAGCATTAGATTTTCATAAGAGTGTGAACCCTTTTGTGAACTGCACATGCAAGGGATGTAAGGTGCACACTCCTTATGAGAATCTAATGACTGATGATCTGACGTGGAGTTGAGGCACTGTTGCTAGCATTGGGGAGTGGCTGCAATACAGACTAATGTTAGAGGGGAATTATACACAGAGACCATAACAAATCAATTGCTTGCAGATTCATATCAAAACCCTATCAGTGAGTGGCAAGCAACAATTAA